AAAAAAAAAAAAAAAGTTGTACTACAGAAGTTAACCAACCAGGCTCGTGTTGATAACGTCAATATACACGGTCCCCTAACCCTAGCAAAGACCGTTTCTTGGAAGTACTACAGAAGTGTACCCTAACCCTAACCCTAACCCTAACCCTAACCCTAACCCTAACCCTAACTTCTTGTTTACTTGAGCATAACGCTGACAATTAAAAACTGCGGGCATTTTAGAAAATGGAAGACCGTGCCCGGCAGCCGTCAGATATATGCCGGCTGCCGGGCATATAGCCACTCTGTTATTTTTATACATCGCTCATAAACATTTTTGTAATTCTCAATCGTATTGTCATTCATGGATTAACTTTCAGTAAATGACTATATTACCGAGTGGCTTACTTGAACACTGTACAGTCAACTCACTGCGTTATTTAAAAATCGTTGTGACATATATGTAACATGATGTAATCTTTGAAAGTGTATATAAATTTCAAAATCTAAAAAAATCCAAATCTAAATCTACTCTGGTTCTAGTGTTCTCTGTTCTCTGTTCTCTGTTACATTACTTCTTCTAGGACTTTGAAGTTTGACTGAGGAATAACCTTTGCAAATGCAAGGTTGATCTTCATGCCATTCAATGATGATGAACTTTTCAGGTTAATTATCATGGCAGAGTCCGCAGCAGAGCAGCTTGGTGATGACAAAGCGAAATTACATGCACCATGGGGAGATAGTGAAAATCAATCGGACGAACGTCCGGAACCAAAGAAACTGATTATAAATGACTTTGATTCTGCATATGTGAAGTTAGCTAAAAGTGGCGGGCACAAAGGTATTATTCATTTTACTATGGTTTCATGTCTGTCCAGCCGCCGCTGCTCGGTCTGCCCCAGAGAATTTCCCTTCGCTCTGTAACTCGACCCCTAATTGACCTAGCGCGACCAAACTACGTATACATCTTGGGGAGAAGGTGCGCAGAGTACCAAAACCAGGTCACTACGACCTTTATTTGACCTTTACCTTGACCTTAATTATATTTACATTCCACTCTATAACTCGGCCCCTAATTGACCTAGCGCTACCAAACTTGGTATACTTTCACATCTTGGGGAGAAGGTGTGTCGCGTACAAAAACCAGGTCACTGCGACCTTTATTTGACCTTAAGCTTGACCTTGATCATATTTCTTTTCCGCTCTATAACTCAGCCCCTAATTGACCTAGCGTGACCAAACTTGGTATACCTACACATCTTGGGAAGACTGTGTGTCACGTACCAAAATCACGTCACTGCGGCTTTTATTTGACCTTGACCTTGACCTTGATCATATTTCCCTTCCGCTCTATAACTCGGCCCCTAATTGACCTAGCGCGACCAAACTTGGTATACCAGGCTTTCATTTTTAAGGGGCGAGATCGCGCCTGCGCTCTACCGCGCACCCGAAATTGTTCCCTGGTGCGTGCATCATTGCGCCTCATAAGTGGTTGAAATATTGCGCACCAAAAGTCCCTTACTAGTAATACTGGCAATGCCACCTGTCACAATTATTACAAAGGTTAGCGACACACAACAATTTATGGTGTGTAAGTAACTGAACGTATGCCAATTTGTGGTGTGTAAGTAACTGAACGTATGACAGAGGTACAGGTTACTACTCTCTGGTTTATACAACTAGACAACAGCATCCAAATACAGGTACCTACACGGTAGCCACAAGTTACCTGCTCGTTTTCTACTATACGTGGCGAGAAGTGGTTTCTGCCGACGTGCAACAGTAGTAGGGCTGGAGGGGCTACATACGTGGATACTACGTACAAGTAATTTGGCTAGTTTTTTGATGGATTGTGATGATATTTCATGCTGAAATATGCAGGTACATGGATTAGAGTCTCTAAGGATGAAGATCAGAATAAACAAAAACAAGTTTATTTTTACATCCGATCAACTCTTTTATTAATCTGTGTGCTAGTGTTGGGTTGTTGGATGAAAAGAATGTAATCATGACGAAGCCATTGAATGAATGAAGGCGAAGATGAATGATAATCAGTGGATTGACATGACATCCCAATTTTCATTAAATTGGATTTCACTCTAGACTGAGGATTGGTCATGATCTCTCCATCATATATAATAATTAATGCGGGAAGATAAGACGCCTTAATTATATTGTACACAATAAAAAATAATCTGAAATATTTGTCAACATTTGTTTTCTACTTTAAATATAATGTAATTTCAAGCAGATAACATGTTTCGTTTGCAAAATTATATGTAACTGCATGGGTTTGACCGAACACGGGCCTTGTGTTACTAGAGTTATGCTAAAGTATATGAAAAATTTCACGAAGTTTTGGCGTCTTATAAATATTACAGGAAAAAAAGTGAAGTTATTGATATTTAATACCATATATGCCATGCTCGTCGGTCTATTACTGTCTATAAAACAGTTATTCTTTGAGTTAGCGGGTGTGCATGAACACAATACTTATCCTGTTTTAAACACAGATTATACATGCTATACTACAGTACACCTAAAATTGTTTTTGTAACGGTTCCCATATTCTATAATATATAGAATATTCGGTTTTCATATTCAACATTCTATACCGACCGAATGACAATTTCAATAGACTCGTCCACTATGGACTCGCCTCTTTACAATGCGCATCGGCCGCATGCTTGACTTAGCTAGCAGTGCTAAGTAGTTAGCACTCTATGCTAAGTCGCTACAATAAAACATCAATTCTTTGTGTGCACAGTAATTGTGATATACAGTGTTCGTTACAATATATCAAGCTATATTATATGTTTGCTGTTATTGGCAAAAACAACAAGAAAAATGTGACTCTTCGTTAGGAATTTATGGCAATATCGCGGTATTGTGAGGTCATCGGTCCTGCCGTGATGTCGTACGTTATACTTGAAACCCTTTTTTGACTATACATGAGAACAATATACACATGTATATATAGTTCTCAGGACGATATATGCATGTTCATTATGCACAGTGACAACCACATAAAACACATAGATGAAGAGGAGTTCCTGCTACGTGTACAGCCTGCTACCTACCCTCGAAAAACATCATAATATTATGTAGGGGCGTTAGATGGGAATACTGATATCAGGAGTTAATAAAGACAAATTGTCTTTAACTCCTGCTGATATGAACCTACCTAATATCAGGGGTGAGTATATAATGACAAATTTGTCATTTATTCACCATGCATTGTCATTTTAGTGAATTTAATTGTCATTATTCAGTGGTGAATTTGTCATTATTCAGGGAGTGAATTTGTCAATATTCACCCCTGCTAATATCACAATTATTATTATATTTTTGAAATACAGTGTGTTTCGCGCCATAGTATAGATATCTCCAGCCCCAGGAGCGAATAAAAACAAGTTTGTACTCACTCCCGGCGTGCGTTTTACATGCGCACGCTGCGGACTATGCTGCGGACGGCAGATTTGAGCATAAATTGACGTTGAGTGTCGCTAGTAGCGTGCGCATGGTCCATGCGGTCACCGTAGCAACGACGACGCATTGCCATTGGGCTCTACAGACTACAGTACAGATTTGCTATTATT